CAACCGTCCTCGGTTGATGTCGGAGGTCAACTGGTCACGCTAGTCGGCAAGGGCTTTAGTCGTGACAGGGAGTACGAGTGCGACTTTGGTAAAGAAGAACGAGTTGGTTGCCAAGGAATCTCGTTAACGGCGGTTGAGTGCAGAGCACCAGCTCACAGGCCTGGGAACGTGAGTCTCAGGCTATGGCACGGGAACGGTCAGTTCTTAGTCTTGTCCCCGCTGCTTTCGTACCATTCACCGATTCGAGTGGACAGTATCACTCCGAGTTTTGGACCGAGCCGGGGTGGAAGTCGAGTGACAGTGAATGGTGCTGGCTTTTCTGTTTCAAAGAACTTATTTTGTAGGTTCGGATTTGATGCATCATCGAGTGAAGTAGTAAGCAGTTCTTTGTTGATCTGCATTACACCGGAGAAACGTCCTAGCCATGATATCATCACTGTTGCGTCCCAAAATGGAACCATTTTGCCTTCATTTGTTTATCACTTTCAAGATCCAATCAAAATCCTTGGCATCTGGCCTAGCTTTGGATCAGTACTCGGAGGTACAGTGGTGATATTGAAGGGTGAAGGCATATCGAGACTTAGCCATTGTCGTTTCGGACATAACAGCTCGCAGACATCTGCGGTGTACACGTCTAGTTCAATCATGCATTGTACCAGTACAACTCATACCACACAAGAAGTAGTGCCTTTGACAATATCTACAAGCCACGGTGAAGAAAGGCACGTCATGGACTTTGAATACATCGTGCCTTTGAATGTTCTTGAGGTCAGACCGAGAATGGTCTATCATGGCTGTGGCATGCAATCTTTGACTGTAATTGGAAGCAACTTGAAGAGGACGGAAGATATGGGATGCCGGTAGGTTCAAAGTACGTAAAGGGGATTTACATGACTTCAACTTCAATGCGATGTAATGTTATATTTGAGCGGCATGGCAAGGCACATCTCAGCGTCACATTGAATGGCGCCGATTATGTTCGGTGCCCTCAGGCAATAGAGGTACAAGAGGCGATGGAGGTTATGGAAGTCCTGCCTCGCGAAGTGGAGTATGTTGCAGGGACGTTGGTGACCATCGTTGGTACCAACTTCAATGATAAACTCACATACGAGTGTTTCATTGAACCACGGACTAGCATGAAGGCTAGAGTGATCAATGAAACAGCATTGATTTGTCCACTTTCAATCATTGACAATCCTTTAGATGAGCTGTGTCTCGGGGTCAGAGTAATTGGACAGGAAAATTGTGCTTTTCACTTGCCATGTGCTGCCTTGTGGCAGGACGCAGAAATCCTGTCTCTTTCACCTTCAAGAGTCAATCTTCTAAGCGCGCCTGTACAAAGCATTCTAGTTGCTGGGAAAGGCTTTCGTCAGTCCAACTACATGTGCAAATTTGGTGCACATATCACAGAAGGCACTGTGGTAACATCGAGTTTATTACATTGCCCTGCTCCACGACAATGCGGATCATTCTCATCGTTCGTTACAGACTTGAACGGTAATAGCTGCAAGGGTTTGCTTTTGTTTGAAGTTGTTTGTGCCGATTTGTATGGTGTTACTCCCTCCTTTGGGAATGTCTGTGGATCCCAACGAATAACGTTGTATGGCAAGGGATTTGCAGCTGCTGGCGATGCTTTCTGTACTTTTGGAAGGGACCAGA